GAATTTGTCTGGTCAATTCTTGGTCGTCCTTGGGCAAGTTAGAGACCTCAATGGGAATGTCTTAAATAAAATGAGAGGGTAAATTTGGGGTACAACGACTGCCCCTGTTCAATATTCTTAAACCTAAGGATGTAGATTGACTTGTCTGCCTTTCGTGATCTGAAGGTGGAAGATGATTGAACACTAGAGTGCCCTGAAATTTGCACTCGTCTGAAGTAGCACTGTTGGTGGATAATATCAGAAATGGGCTTATAGATGCCATTTGGAAAATATGACGGAATACTATAGGAGATGTGCTTAAAGATTCCATCCAGGGAATATGACGGAGAGTCGTCGGAGATGGGCTTAAAGATGCCATCTAGAGAACATGATGTTTTCATGAGAGGTTCCTTTATGGGGGTTCCTCACTACAACGAAAAAGACTTACGAAAGCGCTTTTTTGGCCTTTAAAAGCGCTTAAAAGCGCTTTCGTAGGTGGCGCTGCTATAGGTTTTAGTAGCGCTTTTTGTTTAATGAAAAGCGTTTTCGTAGGTCTACCTAATACAAAACTTTTTCTAAAAAGCGCTCTCTTAAGTAGGCTTTTGGCAGCGCTTTTTTATGAAGAAGCGCTTTCATAGGTCTACCTAAGGCAGCGCTTTTTTCTGGAAAAGCGCTCTCATAAGTTTTCTTTTAGCAGCGCTTTTTTTTGGAAAAGCGCTGCCTTAGATAGGCTTTTAGCAACGCTTTTTTCTGGAAAAACGCTTTCATAGGTGGTCTTTTAGCAACGCTTTTGCCTGGAAAAGCGATGTCATATGTTTACCTTAGACAACGCTTTTTGTGAAAAAGCGCTTTCATAGGTTACCTAAGGCAGCGTTTTTCTTGAAAAAGCGCTTTCATAGAGTGTTTTTTTTAGAGGTATAATTTATATAATTCATATACCTGCATTGTTTGCAGCATATTATTTATATAAATCAGTTGCCATAACCTGTAATTCATAAACCGCGGTAATGCATTGTATACCATTGTAATCCAAAATATATATACACCATTTTTGTACCTCAAAATATATAAAAACCATTGTTATCAGCATTGTAACTCAAAATCAGTCTTACAAAATCAACCCTAACAACAACTAAACCAGTCCTAATGTATGAAAGAAACACGGTCAATTATGTATTAAGGTCCTGGTCTTGCGAGGTTTGAACATAATAACACGGTCAATATGGTATTCCATGTACACATGTAGCGTATTCATAACACTTTTCACATAATAATGTATTCATACCTTATATGATTCTCTACTCAATAAAATATTGATACAATTCCTCTTTGATTTCTTCTAACTGAAGTTTCGTGTAATATGCACATTTGTATTCATCGAAGTACTACATAACAAAACATAATATGCATGATTTAGTTAAAAGTAAAAAATTATATGAAATATCCGAGAAATAATAAAACAAATCCTAAGTTATAAATCCATACCATGACTGGAATCTCTATTTGATTCAGTTGAAGGATTTCTTTGATAAACCGCATAACGAAGTATCTGCAATCTATACTGTTTTGTTGTTGATGACACTACATAGAAAAACAAATAAGAATATATAGTTGTATTGTTTTATCAAATAGCATAAATATTATAAAAAAAAATAGTGGAAATTAATATACCTGCACTTTAATCCAATTAATGTTGTTTGATTTAGACTGTCGTACCTGAGCTTCTCTTTGACACCAGAATACTTGTATCGCTCTAACAAAATAAAAATATATATTTAGATTAATGTCACAGAAATAATTAAATATATAAATAGACACAAATATTTAGAATAATCTCACTTACGTATCAATCATTAACTTCATATCCGGATAATTTTTCCAATCACTGTCAACCGAATTCAGATAATAGACCACTTCTTTTATAGGATCGATAGAAACCAACAACCAGTGACGTCTATAAATTAAAACAACAGTTTAGAAGAAAATTTTCTATGCAAAAATTACAAATATTAAAATGAACTTAGAATGAAAATCTAACCCTGTAGGAATAGTATTATACGCCCAAAGATATAAGCTTTTTATACTGCCAGTTGCCATGAATCTTTCGACTAAGTGCTCTCTTACTGAATTCGGTTCCCTACCAATTGTCGCTCCGCTGACACGGGAGGAAGACACGAAATGGAATCTGTTTGACAATTGATTCCCCCGCATCAATTTGTCATATAACAACCTTAAATAAAAACATAATTAATATTAAACTATATTCATTGAAATGTTTTAAAAAAATTCCGCTAATTACATAATATAAAGATGGGGTTACCGGATGTATGCGTGCATAATATTGACGCCTAATTCTTTATGACGGAAAATCTCTTCCACGTCCTCATGTCCAATTATTTCGGTGCAAGGAAAACCAAAGATACCTTGATCCATATCCATTTGACGAATACCACCATCCATCAAATCTGCTGTTCCCACTATTATTTCAAGACACTGACGGTATCGAGGGAAAAATCTAGTAGGAACCCTTTTCTTGGGTGGTATGCCAATGATTTTCTGGCTCACTTGTTGTGACCCTTGAAAAGGTACCTAAAAATCATATAGACTCAGTTAAGTTATAAAATTATGCAGTTTTTTATTTAGATCATATAATTAACACTTTAAACTTACCTCTTTTTGTGATACATCAGACTCGTCGTGCCGCAAAATCCCTTTACCCTTAGATGCGGGTTTTGTAGGAGTCTATAATTACCGTGGAAATAACTGAGGTCAGAACTGACAGTTGAAGACTTAAAGATTCATAATGGTTTTCAACATACCTGATCATCTATGAAAATGAGGTCTGATGGCCATGCAACAAAATATCCTATTGCATCTCGCAACAATGTGGTCTCAGCAACAATGTCAGGTACCGGCAGCAACGCATCCATATCTAAAGCAATATCAATTGATACTTTCATGTGTCCATCCGGAAGTGGTCAATGGTGAAGTAAATCTCCCAAAGTGTTATGGACATTTCCCTTGCCAACTAGTCGATAAGTCATCGACGATAGGTATAGCTGGCAAGATGAAATGCCCTAAACCAATAATAACCGTTAGAAGTGACTAAAAATATTCTATAATAATAACGAATATATATTGAAAATTACCTCGGGAAATTTATGCTGACAGTTGATACTAGCTTTGTCACTAGTTTCTTTCAACTGTGAAATGCTCTTTTCCGCCATATATCTCTCTTTATCCTTCTGCAATTCGCGGACTTGAGCTTGTAAATCCTGCAATGTTTGCATCACTTTTGCATTGCTAGGATTTCTTCTCCTTGGATGCTTATACAAAGAGGTTGGAGTCACACCATGACCTTTACCCCTCACCCGACCCGGATACTCAGCAATATTTAGTGCTCGACTAAGTACGCTCCTGGTATCCTGATCCTCACCTAGGGATACCGATTGCGACAAGGTTTCCTGTAATTCATTTACATATCGAAAATTATTAGTGGAGATAAAAAATTATTTAAATATTAATAAATGTTTGATTTTATTAAAGACAGAATCTTATACTTACACATTCATCATACACATGTTGAAGATCGGGATTAACAACTTGATCCTTGCCCATACGAGCTTCCTTCCACAACAAATGTGCTGGTAGTGATGTTGCGTCACTTTACGTCTCTTCTAACTACGCATTGACACAAGTCTTAAGATCATAAATTATAACACATTGAGAGAATTAATAAGATCGTAGAGTTTATACTTACTTACAATTTTTTCCTCTAAGCGAGCATATCCCAAACGCCCTTTTTTGTATGGATATGCGGGTTTTGACGCTCTCTCGCAATTGATGGCACTCACTTTCTTGAAATTCTCGTCTCTTGTTTGGCCTACAAAACCAACCCATTCTTCAGGTGTAATGAAGTTCTCATATTTCTTTGGATGTTCCGGATCCTCTTCAAGAAAATTTCCTTCATCATATTTAAGATACTTGTTTGTTAAAAATGTTCTCCACCCTCTGTGTCTTTTTCCAGCCAAACCCATTATATACTTTTTACGGGTATCTTCAATGTTAAAAGACCTCTACAAAAAAACATACGCATAAAGTGTGTTAGTAAAAGCAATTTAAACACATATTATCGTCAAGATAAAGCAAATAACAAAAACCATATATGTACCTTTATCTCAGTCCAAACTTTCTCTTTACCCTCATCCAACCCTCCTCTTTTCCATCTAGGAGTGGTGATCGGAATGTGTATACGAACAAGCATACCAATGTAGCTTGTCAACTTTGCAGCATTAGACCCAATTAGTTGGTCATTATCATTCCAATCTACATTATATGTTACTCCTCTATCTCTATCACAGATGATTCCCCTCATAATAGTTATACCTCGTGTAATATCTTTTTCTGAAGTCTTTTCTGAAGTCTTTTCTGGAGCATTTGCATCTTGTGAGTTTTCTTGATTACTAGCCATTTGACCTGTAATAATAAAATAAAATAAAATGAAATGACAAATATAAAAATGAAATGACAAATAAAAATGAAATGACAAATAAAAATGAAATGACAAATAAAAATGAAATGACAAATAAAAATGAAATGACAAATTAAATTTTATTGAATGATATAGGCTATAATTATATATACTATTACCTTTTTCAATAAGGTCTCTTTCTTTTCTTGGTAGGAATGTGTTCTACTCGTCTCTTAACAACGTGGACAGTTGGATTGATCCAAATACCCTCATTATGATCATTTCTAATACATGATTCATTATCATTTTGATCAGTTATGGTTAAAGATTCAATGTCAATTCCTCCATCACTTTTATGTAATGGAACTTCATTGAGTTATATAGACTTATCTAATAATTCATTAGTTGGGGAAAATTCCATTAAACAATAATAAGTGTGTGCTTAAAGAGCTTAAGTTCTTATTACTTTGGTCTAACAAACTTGTAGAACAAGTTCCTTTGGCTCTTTCAAACTCTACCAAGCTTAAGTGGCTTGATTTTGGAATCAAACATGTTAAGTGGTGAACTTCCATCTAAGATTATTTGTAATTTTCCACAATTGCAATATCTCTACTTATCATATAACAATTTTGTTAGCCATGATGGTAACACTAACCTTGAACCTTTCTTTGCTTCCTTGATGAACTCGTCGAACTTTCAAGAACTTGAATTGGCCAGAAACGGTCTCGGCGGGAAGCTTCCTCATATTATAGGTAATCTTCCTTCCGGCATGCAACATCTTCACCTACAAGAGAATCTCATACATGGCGCTATACCACCTCAAATTTCCAGCCTTGTCAATTTAACTTTGTTGAAGTTGTATAGTAACCAAATAAATGGAACAATCCCTCGAAGCCTGTGCAATATTGATACGAATTGCAGTTGGCCGGAGAAGTGGAGCGTCGTTGACCGCCGTAGAAGCTCTGGTTTAGGGTTTTTTCGTGAAGAAAATCTGACTGAGAATAGAAAAGTGATATGAATTGTGTTTTGATATTTATTATAAAACTACCTACGAAAGCGCTTTTAAAAGCGCTTTCTAAAGGTCATCTATAACAGCGCTTTTACATTAAAATGCGCTTTCATAGCATATCCTATAGCAGCGCTTTTAATAGCGCTTTCTAAAGGCCAGCTTTAGCAGCGCTTCCCAAAAAGCACTTTCTAAGGGTGACCTTTAGAAGCGCTTCTGAAAAGCTCTTTCTTAAGGCACCCTTTGAAAGCGCATTTTTAAGCGCATTTTTTTTAAAACCTACAGCAGCGCTTTTTTCCAAAAGCGCTTTCTTTTATGTGCTGCTAAAACTTATTTTTGGCGTAGTGATTGGAAAGGACTCCGCTGAGGAATGTTGGTCTCTGTTTTGGGAAATAGATTCTAGGAGATTCAGTTGTCCATTACTCTACTGGGGAGTCATCTCTTGACTGGAGAGACTGAAGCAAACTACTATCTGGTTGGACTCCAGGCTTTACAGTTTCTTTAACTGGGTAAGAATCAGAAAATCTTAGTGCCAATTTAACTGAACCAGAGAAAGGTCTTGAATTGTCTTCAACTGGGTAGGAATCATAAAATCTTAGTGTCGATTTAACTGAACCAGAGAAAGGTCTTGGTTCGTCTTCAACTAGAATAGAAATCAGAAAAATCTTAGTGTCGATTTAACTGAACCAGAGAAAGGTCTTGGATCGTCTTCAACTAGAATAGAAATCAGAAAAATCTTAGGATCTATTTAACTGAACTAGAGAAAGGTCTTGGATCGTCTTCAACTGGAATAGAAATCAGAAAAATCTTAGTGTCAATTTAACTGAACCAGAGAAAGGTCTTGGATCGTCTTCAACTGGAATAGAAATCAGAAAATTCTTAGGGTCGATTTAACTAAACCAGAGGGAGGTCTTAGGTCGTCTTCAACTGAAATAGAATTCAGAAAAATCTTAGGATCGATTTAACTGAACCAGAGAAAGGTCTTGGATCATCTTCAACTGGAATAAAAATCAGAAAAATCAATGTCGATTTAACTGAACCAGAGAAAGGTCTTGGATCGTCTTCAACTAGAATAGAAATCAGAAAAATCTTAGGGTCGATTTAACTAAACCAAAGGAAGGTCTTGAATTATCTTTCTGAGGAAAATGCTGAAATAGCCTTTCGTCGTACGTAGCCTTTAAGAAGACTGCCAGGTCATATAAGTAGTCAATGGTGTTTGTTGATTTGATCTTTCCTAAAAAGGTAAAGAGTTAGTCGCATGCAATGTCATGATGTATGAAATGCATTGTGTAAGGATGTTCTCAAAATAAATGAGATTATGTTGTATGCAATATGTGTGCGCATGCCATGATGTATGAATATGGAATGCTGTTGCAATATTTCCTAGTCTGGGAAAATAAATCCCTGGCTGCTGCTGGAGAGCATTGGGAAGCTGGATCCAGGACTGCTGTTTGGTAGATGAGGAAAGTGATTCTTTCATTTCCGTTGGGGATGATGGATGGAAATGATCTTCCAGGGATTTCCTCTTTCCGTTTGAGGATATTTTGCCCGGGATCTTTGACTCTTCTTGAGAATGGCTCTGTGGGGAGAAAGATGCTTTGTTGGAAGATTTTACCAATGTAGAGAAGTAAACTTTGTTGGGGGATAAGGTTTTATAAACTGTTCGAGATTATAAAAACTTAGCTGGAAACATGGATTTCAGTTCTTTGAGGGAACTTTGCTGGAGGAGGTACTTCCTGCTTGGGGAAGAAAAGGTCAGGATTTTGGTTTTTTCACTCTGCAGGGACATAAACATCACTAGGACGTATGCTGAGGATGTGACAGGAGGATGCCTTGTGCCTGCTGGAAATAGTATCTGTCAGGACTACAACTGGCTTTTTTAGATTTTGCCCCGTTTCTTAAAGTCATTAGCAACTGTCTTTCTGTTTATTATGCAAGTATTTGTAAATAGTAATCATATTCAAATGCATATATCAAAAATAACCACTGGACGTTTTTGCAAAACAAAACATAAAAATAGAAAACAAAATATATTTGTACTTTCAAAGAAGTGATTTGTATTGATTTTGAAGTTTACCTATAACAGGCATTTTTTTGTACAAAGAGACTGACGTTCTAGTAGGAGAACATCATCGTGAAAATGAAAACTATACAAAATAGTGTACAAAGAGAAAACAATTATGTGTAATAATCCCATTAAGTTTCAATTCTGCTATTGCCCTTATTTCCTTGAGCGTCCCATCACTTTGCTACTTGTATGAAGCTGACTAGATTGATTGGTACCATTTAAGCTTGATGGTTGATACTGAAGTCTGGTCGTAAAGTGATCCAATGGGACATATTTATATGCTTTAAATCCCTAACTTTTGCATGGACCGCCCTTTCGGGTTTTCGGTACACCGGGATACCCTTTTTTGCCCAAGCTGCCTTTTCCAGGTTTTCGACTTGCCGGGTGTACAGATTTTTTTGTATTTATCCCTAAATTTTGCCTGAACCCCTTTGGTTCACCGGGATGCCCTTATTTTTGCCTAGGCCAGTCAACCTAGCGGGTCTTTATTCATGCGTAGTATCTTTTCACTATGTCCGCATTCATAGGGTGACGAAGGTCGTCACCATCCATGGTGGTTAGAATCATGGCTCCACCATAAAATATGCTTTTGATTACAAATGAGCCTTCGTACGTGGGAGTCCATTTACCCCTGGGATCACCTTGTGGCAGGATGATGCGCTTGATTACTAGATCACCAACTTGATATACCTGACGTCTGACCTTCTTATTAAAAGCCTTGATCATACGCTTCTGGTACATCGACCATGACAAAAAGCCGCTAACCTTTTCTCATCAATCAGATTCATTTGGTCAAGTCGAGTCTGGATCCAATCATTTTCGTTGAAACCTGCATCCTTCATGATTCTCAAAGAAGGTATCTGGACCTCAATAGGTAGGACAACCTCCATACCATACACCAGAGAGAATGGTGTTTCCCTTGTTGACGTTCGTGCTAAGGTGCGGTAACCATGAAGAGAAAATGGTAACATCTCATGCCAATCTTTGTATGTCACCGTCATCTTCTGTATGATTTTCTTAATGTTCTTGTTAGCAGCCTCCACAGCGTCATTCATCTTCAGCCGGTAAGGGAAAAAATTATGATGCTGGATCTTGAATTGTTTACAGAGTTCGGTGATCATCGTATTGTTGAGATTTGTACCATTATCTGTGATAATTCTTTCTAGAACACCATATTGACAGATAAGGTTGTGCTTGATGAACCGCGCCACAACATTCTTAGGAACAGTAGCAAAAGAGGCATCCTCAACCCACTTCGTGAAGTAATCAATGGCGACTAGGATAAATTGATGCCCGTTTGAAGCGGTAGGTCTGATTTTTCCGATCATGTCGATACCCTACATTGCAAAGGGCCAGGGAGAAGTCAAGACGTTCAAGGGAACCGGAGGTACATGTACTTTATCAGCATAGATATGACATTTGTGAGAAGTTCAGGAATGTTGATAACAGTCTGCTTCTATAGTGGACCCGTAGTATCCTGCTCGTAGGATCTTTTTAGCCATGGTGTATCCGCTAGAATGGATTCCAAAGGTACCTTCGTGTAAATCTTCCATAATCCTCTCTGCTTGTCTCTTTTCTACACACCAAAGTAAAGTTGAATCATGGTTGCGCTTGTAGAGGATTCCATTACTGAGGAAGAACTTTACGGAGAACCTTCTCAGAAACTTCTTATCATTGACAGATGCCTCCTCAGGATATTATTGAGCCTCGAGATACCTTTTCACTTCATGGAACCAAGGTTTGTCTGTTACCCCTTCAGTATCGATCTCATAGCAGTAAGCTGGTTCATCCAATCTCTTAATAGTGATCTGAGGAGCCTCATTGTCCCATCTGACCTTGAACATAGATGACATAGTAGCTAGCGCGTCCACTAACTGATTCTCTTCTCGTGGAAAATGTTCAAAGGTGACTTCTTCAAAGTGTGGAAGCAGTATCCTTGGCATTATGGAGTATAGGACTTCTTGGACCTAGGAATAGAGACCTTGACCTATTTTGGAGACCTTGTGACCTTAATTGATATTTTGTCTGGAGTTCTTAAGGTTTACCTCAAGACATTAGGTTGTTTGTTTGTTTTGTGTGCAGGTTATTGTGATTACATACTTTGTCTATAATCTGGAATTCATCTGAATACAGCCATTACTCTGCCCAAGTTTTGTGAAGACTTAATGCAATCAAAGTTTGGTCTTCTCAAGAGGTTTAGTGTCCTTTCTTGGTTTCAACCCAAAGAATGGGAATTCTATCTTGACTCATAATGTCAAGTGTTGGCTTCTTACTGGTTAGATGGTTCATCTCCCTAGCTTTTACCTTATTTAGGATAGTCCCTTCATCTCCTCCCATCTTCTTTAATTTCAAAAATCTTCTCCCTCCTTTTGAAAACTCTTCTTGTTTCTAAACTTGAACCACTTTCATAATAAACTTGGACTTAGGTCCATGTATTTTCAAAACATTTTCTTAAAAAAACTTCAATCAACTTAACAATACCTTAACATTTTTGTGATAAGACTAAAAGTCAATCAATCTTATTCAAACCATTTTGCCATTTTGGATCTTATCTTTAAAATTTCCTCAAATGACTAGACTCTTGTCAATCCTTATAGTGATGCAAACAACTATACTTCTACAATATATAGTGAAGAGAGATATTTTCCACTTGGGTGTTGAGTGAGGCATTATTGATTTTAAAATCTAAGCCATATCCTCCACTTTGAGATGATGCAAATTCTCCTTTCTCATGATTGTGGGTAGTAAGTATGTTTTCCACACGGACAATGACGATGATGTCTTCTTTCATAAAATTAACCAACACACTTGTTTTAAATTTTTTAAAGGTGAACTACGAGTAACCTGATCCCCTATTGCATGAAAGGTGGTACGTAGGCACTAAAGGTTCGCAACCGCGGCGGGTGCAAAAATCATAAAAATTATTTCTTTTCTCACCTCCACC